CTCCTCCTCCTCCTCCTCTCCTTCCTCCTCCTCCCTCCTCCTCCTCCTCCTCCCTCCTCCTCCTCCTCCTCCTCCTCCTCCTCCTCCTCCTCCTCTCCTCCTCCTCCTCCTCCTCCTCCTCCTCCTCCTCCTCCTCCTCCTCCTCCTCCTCCTCCTCTTCCTTTCCCTCCTCATCAGCCTTTTCCTCCTCCTCCTCCTTCTGTTCCTTTTCCTGGCGAGAGTCCCTCCCAAATGGTCAGCGGCTGCTGGAACGGGGTGAGCGGTCCTCCGTCTTCGAGCTCCACGGCGGCACCAAGCAGCCTCACCAGCTTGCCCACCTGCCATGGGGGGCGCCACGAGGTGGAAGGGAAGGCAAGATAAGGGGAGGAAAAGGGAAGAAAGGAGAGGAATCGGGGTGGGGGAAATGACGAAGAGAAAGACCAAAAGTGAGGAAAGAAAGGGCGAGGAAGCGTTCCGCAACAAGTTAGACTAGACATCCCACACGGAAAGCGGAGATGCCTCCAAACGCCAGGAGGAAGAAAAGGAAGGTGAAGGAATGTCAGGCAGAGATAAACAGGGAAACGTAACACAAGCAAGGCAGGAACAACGGGGGCACGGACACGACTCTTCCTCCTCATGATGCCCCTCTTTTACCTCCTCCTCCTCCTCCTCCTCCTCCTCATCATCCCCCTCCCTCCTCCTCCTTCCTCCTCCTCATCCTCCTCCCCATCCTCCTTCTCCTCGCCATCCCCAATCCCCCATCCCACCTCCTCTCCTCCTCCTCCTCCCTCCTCCTCCTCCTCCTCCTCCTCCTCCTCCTCATGGTCCTCCTGTTCCTCCTGATCATCATCATCATCATCAGCATCATGACCAGCATTCTCGTCCTCATCCTCATCAGCAGAATCGTCAGCACCACTATTATCATCGCCATCGCCATCACCATCAGCATCATCATTATCGTCATCGTCATCGTCGTCATCATCACCATCATACTTACCATCTTCAGATCCACCATCATCGTCATCACCATAAGCAGCATCACCAGAAGAATCAGCATCAACATCCTCATCATCATCACCACCAATAGCATCATCACCACCATAATCATCACCATCGCCATCATCAGCATCATCAGCTTCATCATCGTCTCCATCGCCAGCAACATCATAATCATCGCCACCACCATCACTATCCAGCGCCACCACAATTACTCACTGCGTGGAGCTCCCCATAGGTGCATCTCATGTTTTACCTCATGCCATAGCGAGCGTCTGCTCATGAGCGCTTGACTATAATAGCGCATCCACATGGGCGACAGGGCCGACGAAGCCGAGTAAATCCTAATGCGAGTGAATGAGTATGAGCCAGAGTGAGCTTTGAGTATGATTGAGTATGAGCCTCCCATTCACTCCCCCTCCTCAGCTGCCAGGCCGTGCCCTCCTCAGCCTGCGGTAATGTGCATATGTTTAAGGGTAGTTGGCAGTGGGATATAAGGCGAGCGTTTAGCCACACAAGGCCATATGTGCAAATCATGTTGTAGGATAGTCCCACGGCGAGCACTTGTCCATGATAGTTGTTCGCTCCACGCCTCGACTCCTTCCTCCGTGCGTCCCAGAGGGTACGCGCCGGAGCACGACCCAAGGGACCAGCGCGCCTCGACTCACTCCTCTGTGCGTCCCAAAGGGTACGCGCCAGAGGACGACCCAAGGAGTCAACATGCCTCGACCCCTTCCTCCGTGCGTCCCAGAAGGTACGTGCCGGAGCACGACCCAAGAGACCAGCACGCCTCGACTCATTCCTCCGTGCGCCTCACTTGGTACGTGCCGGAGCACGACCCAAGAGACCAACACGCCTCGACTCTTTCATCCGTGCGTCCCAGAGGATACATGCCAGAACACGACCCAAGGGACCAGCACGCTTCGATTCTTTCGTCCGTGCGTCCCAGAGGGTACGTGCCGGAGCACGACCCAAGAGACCAGCACGCCTCGACTCTTTCCTCCGTGCGTCCCAGATGGTACGTGCCGGAGCACGACCCGAGGGACCAGCACGCTTCGACTTCTTCCTCCGTGCGTCCCAGAGGGTACGTGCCGGAGCACGACCCACGGGACCAGCACGCTTCGACTCCTTCCTCCGTGCGTCCCAGAGGGTACGTGCCGGAGCACGACCCAAGGGACCAGCACGCCTCACCTCCTTCCTCGCAGCATGAAAAAGAGCAAACCGCCTGAGACATCCCCGCAAAATGGCCCGTGTCCTACCATGGCGGCTCTACTTAGGGATGCTGAAACCAGCGCCCCGCCTGAGACATCCTCAAAATCTGCTCTGAAAGCCAAGGATGCTGGGCATGAAAACGAGCAAACTGCCTGAGACATCCCCACGAACTGGCCGCGAACGGGCCCGCGTCCTACCCCCTGGCGGCTCCTTCTAGGGGTGATGACCAGCGCCCCGCCGGAGACATCCTCAAAATCTGCTTTGAAAGCTAAGGATGTTGGGCACGAGAATGAGCAAACCGCGTGAAAACTGGCCGCGAACGGGCCCGTGTCCTACCCCCTGGCGGCTCCTTCTAGGGGCGCTGAAACTAAGCCCCCGTCTGAGACATCCTCACAATCTGCTCTGAAAGCAAAGAATGTTGGACATGAAAACGAGCAAACCGCCTGAGACATCCCCACAAACTGGCCGCGAACGGGCCCGTGTCCTACCCCCTGGCGGCTCCTTCTGGGGGTGCTGAAGCCAGCGCCCCGCCTGAGACATCCTCACAATCTGCTCTGAAAGCAAAAAAGATGTTGGGCATGAAAACGAGCAAACCGCATGAGACATCCCCACGAACTGGCCGCGAACGGGCCCGTGTCCTACCCCCTGGTGCCTCCTTCTAAGGGTGCTGAAACCAGCGCCCCGCCGGAGACATCCTCAACATCTGCTCTGAAAGCTAAGGATGTTGGGCATGAGAACGAGCAAACTGCCTGAGACATCCCCACGAACTGGCCGCGAACGGGCCCGTGTCCTACCCGCTGGCGGTTCCTTCTAGGGGCGCTGAAACCAGGCCCCCGCCTGAGACATCCTCACAATCTGCTCTGAAAGCAAAGAATGTTGGACATGAAAACGAGCAAACCGCCTGAGACATCCCCACAAACTGGCCGCGAACGGGCCCGTGAAAACACTCCTGGCGGCTCCCCTTAGGGGTGCTGAAACCAGCGCCCCGCCTGAGACATCTTCACAATCTGCTCTGAAAGCAAATGATGTTGGACATGAGAAGGAGCAAACCGCCTGAGACATCCCCACAAACTGGCCGCGAACGGGCCCGTGAAAACACCCCTGGCGGCTCCCCTTGCGAGTCTGAGTATGACTAGGTCTGAGTATGAGTAGGTCTCAGTCCGTGCGTTGAATAACTCAGACTATGAGAAGGGCTGAGTATGTGTAGGTCTGAATATGAGTAAGTATGTGTATGAGCAGGTCTGGGAACGAGTCTGGGTGCGAGTAAGTCTGGTTATGAAAGAGTCCCAGCATGAGTAAGTAAGTCTGAGTATGAGTAGGCCTGCATGGTGTGTGTTGAGTAAGTCAGACCATGAGAAGGTATGAGTATGAGTAGGTCTGAGTATGAGTAAGTCTGTGTATGAGTAGGTGTGTTCTCTCTGGAGTCGGCGGCGACCAAGTAATCACAAAAACGTCACCTTAGGATATGAGAAACTACCCTCATCGTCACATCGTCATCATCTGCATCATCATCATCACCATCATCAGCATCATCATTATAAGCAGCATCAGCATCAGCATCATCATCATCATCATCGTCGGCATCGACATCGTCATCAGCATCCACAGCATCGTCATCCACATCTTCAGCAGCGTCACCACTATCACCACCACCACCAACACCATCACCATCACCATCAGCATCACCATGATCGTCACCACCACAACCACCATCATCATCATAATCATCATCGTCATCAGCATTACCATCACCACCACCAGCACCATCATCACATTCATCATCAGCATCATCATCAGGTCCATCATCGCAATCACCATCATCATCGCCATAAGCATCATCATCATCATCATCATCATCATCATCATCATCATCATTATTATCCATATGATCCACCATCATCACGATCACCATCACCATCTTCATCATCGTCATCATCACCATCAGCGTCCTCATTATCATCATCCTCATCGTCTTTCTCTTCGCCTCTCATTCCTATATTTCTCCTGCCAGCTCATGCGTGGGTCACCGAGGAGGTCGCAGGAACTGCTCGTAGGGAGGGTTAAGCGTGCCGAAAACGCTGGAAACCTTCTGAAGCACCCGAACACGCTGGGTACAGATCGGAACTATGCAGAGGCCAGCTCAATATGATCTCACCTCTTCGTTACACGTTGGCTGCAACAAAATATATGAACAGCAAACGTAGCGAGTCCGACTGGAAAGGGGAGGCGGGAGCTGGTGTGAACCACAGCGTACGAGCCAGGCAGCATATGCTCTAACGCATATCGAGCGCCATCGTGCCACCGCTGTCGTGGACGACGAGCTGCAAGTCCCGTACACGTACGAACAGCAAACGTAACGAGTGAACATAACATTAGACTGTACGAGAAATACAGGAGACCAGACGGGCTACCATACGGGAGAACACACGGAACACCATGCGAGAAGCCATACGAGAGACCACACGCACAACCATGCGGGAAACCACACAGGAGACAAATAATATAAACATACATACAGGAGACCGCACGGGAAACCAAACGAAAGACCACACGGGAGGCAACACGGTAGAACACACGAGAAAACCTACGGGAACGCATACGGGAGACCATACCGGAGACCTTTCGTAGGCAGAGTGATTTCGTCACGTGATGCGAAATCCCCTCCCCTCCCCTCCTCTCCTCTCCCTCTTCCTTCTCCTCCTCCTCCGCCTCTCCTCCCCCCCCTCAAATTCGCATGACGTAACGGACCCCTGTTGCCGATTTCTGAAGACCTTAGAGACCACAAGCCACGAACCACAAATTCCGGATCTGGA